ATTATTAAAAACTGGATCATTGGATAATGCAATTCAAGACTTTTTATTGGCTTAGCCATTATGGTATATCAGCCAATATACCATAATCTACAAATATGGTAAGCGTACGCGTCAGCTTAAAATCAAAAGGGAGCTAAAAAATCCAGTTTCTTCTTACAAAATAATAATTTCTTGGGGGCGTTTTTAATAAAACAATTATTCCACTCGCGCTTGTTGGATATGAGATGATTATAGCCAACTCGGCGCTACGCGCCTCGTTGGCTATCTATCATCTCATATCCAACGCGCGCTCGTGGAATAATTGTTAATTAGACGTTTTGTTGTGTAGCATCTCTGAGTATTTTTACGAGTTGTGCCGTCTTTTGACGGACCCGTAGGGCGTGTCAAAATACATAACGAGTAAAAATACTCGCGATACTACATAACAAAACGTCTAATAAGTTATTTATTATCCAACACGCCAAATTGTTCTTTCAGTGCGGGCGAATTTCGCGGATATTTATTTACGGAGAGTGCGTGACAGAAGTATGCGAAGCGGAACGGAATTGGCGAGTTGTCGTATTGCTGTTTCTATTTTCCTCAATAAACGAAGAAATTTCCTGGTTGTCTAACCGTTTTTCTTCGTTCGATTCATCTAATAAACTTGGATCTATATATTTGCCAGCCATTCCGATTCTTCTTCGTCAGAAATATGATTCAAATTGTCCGTCATTAGTTTTCGTAACTTTAATCCAATTCTTAGCTTGCGCGATGCGAGAAAACCTGTCTAACCGGTTCTATGGAATACAAATACCGCGGGATATTTGTACTCGTCTATGGCGTTATTTGTACTCTACGGAGTGTAGTTGGATAAAAATTTGAAATTATTCAGCTCCATTCTGTGGTAGAATTGTACAATTGTTTAAAACCTTTATCTACTTATTTTCAAATAGAATACACAACTTGGTGAAGATTGAAAACTGAATCGACTTATTCCATCAAACCCTCGCAAATTTATGAAGGTTTTCTGGTTCGCGGCCTTGAAAAGGGAGATCTGGGACCCAGTCTCCTGTGACGTCAGCGGGGAAGCTCAAGGAAAGAGAATAGCTGAGGATGTTGTGAAAATAGGTGCAAAAAATATCAGGGAGGGGGAGAAAGTGGAACCGTAGTTTCTGCCGTTTTAGCAACATTTCCCTTCTTTATCATTTTTCTGTAATTCCCTTCAATTTGAAACAATAAACAACTAAGAAGCAGAAGCGTGACTTTAAATCAGTTATTTAGCGAGGGCCTGGTAAAAAGAGAAGAACTTAAACTTTCCGTAGTCTGCACTATCTTTTAGTCAGACTGCCACGTAAGATTGGAGGTCTTCTACGTTGACACAAAATTTACCATCAAAGAACGTGTAAGAATCGATCATGTCACTTTTACTGATAGACTTACAAAACCAACAAACTTTGCATAAAAACGCCAGTAAGGCTGGGAAGTCTCCAATATACGCAAGTTTACAAATTGATCATGCCAGTCGGGCAAACAACTGCCAGTTAGGCTAGGTATATGAAGGTACAGCTGGGGACATTAAATGTGGTATTCATTCTAAAATGAAACACTATAGGCAAAGTGGAGAAGCTATTAAAGATGCAGTGTCAGAGTTCACAAAGAAACTCGAAGAACCGGAAATAATTCAAGACTGATTTCCCACCTTATCGTTGAATTCAAAATGTACGCAGTCAAGTGACCAAGACGTCCGATTGCCCTAGCACCTTCAAAGTGTTAGATTAGCACAAAAGAATTCTCAGACAGTCAAAGGAAAAACTGTAATTCTTGTTAATTTGACTCAATTTGCAATCTAGTCTTCCTTGACTGCGTAGCCTACGATGTTTAATAAAAGTACATTTTATACTAAGCCATTAATGAATAACATTAAGGGCGATTTGTTTAACAGGAAAAAGGAAGATGAMTTTATAGAAGCAATTTTAAGATCGACTGAAGAGTTGTTTCATTTGTGTTTCATTTCGCAAGAGAGCAAACGGGTTATCGTAAAATATGAACACTATCCCCGACTACATCAGCAACGAGCAGTTCGCCATTATTGCAGCTAGACACGATCCAAGGAACTTTGAACGTGTCCTCTCCAAATGAGGTGAGAAATGCTCCATCCAAGGTGAACATTTTCAGGACGCCACTGTGGAGATTTTGATCAATACTACTAGCGTCACACACGATCAGGTTGCCATAGAAGTCTACAGAAAGTCCCTCGGGATATCTCAGCTTTCCTTCACCAGAACCGTCAATACCAATGTTATAAAGAAACACTCCTCCCTTATCAAAGACCTTCACACAATGTGCTAACATATAGGAAACAAAGAACATGCCACGATAGAAATATGGAAAGCTTGGGTTCACTTCACTATCCGGGGCAGAGAAGGCCAGCAGCAATTCTTTCCCGTCTGAAGAGATTTCCTTTATCTTTCTGTCACCTTCATCGCAAACGATCACGTGGCCATCGTCATTTTTGACAGAAATATGATGTGCTTTAATCAGATGTTAAGTAAAATGTTCGATGAAGAGGCCAAGATCAGTAATAACTGAAAGCTTCTTATTTTGTGATCTGTATTGCTCATGAGTAATCATGATGTCATTGCTCTTTGAGAATGCCACTGACACAGGACAACCTATCTTGGCACAAAGTTGTGAGTCTGCCTTACCTCCTATTGTCATCTTCACATGTTTCATGTCCTTATCAAAGATCTGGACCCTTTTGTTCATATAATCTGCAACTGCAATGTCTCCAGTTATTTCATTCTTTGCGATACAGTATGGTCCGCTTAATTCTCCCGACCCAGACGATCTCACTACTTTGTACTGATGTGGCTTCTCCTCGACTTTCGACGGACTACCGGTCAGCGAACATTTATTCACCTTGATTTCAACGTCGTGTCGACTAACACTCTTTGGTTTGTAACATACTTTGCAATCTACGACTTGCACTTCCTTATCCCGGGTTTGATAGCTAACGGTGACGGTCACTTGTTCTTGCTCGTTATGGAACTTTTGTCCCCCTGAATCTCGTGTAATTACTGTGAAGTTAGCTTCGGCGCCCTGTTCCGGCTGACCTTAAAAAAGAAGTTGAGAAATTGCGTAAGAATTGACTACCAGGTAGGATGAAAATGAGCGTTCGCCAAAGAGAGTATACCTAAAGTATAAGGTTTACTTATAAATATTTATTGTACTGCCTGATTTTTTACTTATCATATATCGCTAAATCATTTTACCTTAAAAAGTGACGCGTTTGAACCCGCAAGTATAAGTAACACTTTCGAATCACCAGGCTAAGAACAAACCAACTTCATTCGCATCACGTCTCAAATCTTACTTTGATAAGTAACTGGTTCTTTTGAAACTGTCAGGATATCAAGACCCTCTCTAACCTAACTGTCCTTATGGCAAAACGGTAGGCTTTCAACCCGTTTTCCTCGATCAGATTATTTACAAATTATTGATAGACCTCACCTTCGTCTTTAATATCTTTTGATGTTAGGAATTCAAGCTTTTTGTTAATTTCGTCCAGCTGATCTTTGATGCTGTTCTCGTCCTTTTTCCACTGATTCAGTAGTTCCACGTAATGATCTTTAGTTTCAGGGTCCATGGTCTCGTTTCTAAGATCGTCAATAGCAGCTTCATAAGTAACACCTCCCAGTCTGACCAAAATGTCCCGGATGTCACGCCAGTAGTCATTGAAATCGATGTCATCAACGGAAGCTTTCTCAGCGTGACCGTACACGGTGTTCCTAAAATACTTAACTCGGGCAATGTCCGCTTCTTTTCTTAAGTCATGAGTGGCAGGTAATGCGTCCCAGCCGGTGGGCGGAGCAGTTAAGCCGCATAAGTGTCTTAAAAGAATCATCAGCAAAGTTATGTCAAAGTCACGTGAAGATACTGAAGTTGGGATGACAGGGAAAAGTTTCCCCCATTGAATCGGATTGATAACCTTCTTCGCTCTGAGAGATTTTAAGGTTTTTTTCTTTTCCGCCAAAACTGTGTGTAGATTTGCTGGTGCATGGATGGCATCTAACGTGTCTCGAAGAGCCTGGGTTCCAATATCAACCAGAAGACGGCACAACCGGGCATAGTTTGTTGTCTCCTTTGTGGACGAAGCACTTGGAGTAGCATTGGCCATCCGTAAGTCCTGTGCTAAAAACAATATTCATAACGTTATTAGAGGAAATTCGTTTCCTTCCTTACCACAGTTCTAATGAAAGACAATTTAGTGGACGCTGAAGGTGAGGGGTTTTATTTTCTAGTTCAAGATTCAAAAATAGGAATTTTTTCCTCAACGGTTCTTGCTAAAGAGGTTAAATTGTACCAGTGTCCTTTTTTTCCATTCCTCATTTGAAAGCTGTACTTGATTCTGAAGATCTGATGACCTATCATAAGCCTCCAAAACATCTTTCAGTTATTCTGTAGTTTTGATTGGTTCGCTCAATCTCAGTTATCAGCCCATAAACTGTTTTACCTAAGGGAAAAATTGAAAACATCACGCTGGGTATCAAAAAGCTCCTTTTTTTCCGTGAGGTTTTTGAATATTGGAATCAAAACTACACCTGACATTAGGGACCTTAAGAAACCACGACGGCGACGCCAAGGAAGACTTCGACTAAAAAATGAATTTCTACTCTTAGTTAGAATTTCAAGAATGGTTGCAGAAGCTTACTGTCTCATACGACGCCACAGCTCAACTTCAGCATGACGTATAGAGTAGCAGTTGAGTGCCAAATGGAAATTAAAATAATTTGCCGTCGCGGTTTCGGTTCGCAGACGACGCAAATTTTGGCGATTTCACGTTGTTGTTTCGCATAGGACGGCTAAGAAATGTACAAAGTTTCAAAACGCACATGCTGAGCTATTGTTCTGCCAGTTAGATCTCTTGTTTTTCCCCGTCCTCGTTGCCGTCGACGTCGTGGTTTCTTAAGGTCCCTATTAATATTTAAATCGTGAAACAGGAGGGTTGAAAAACATATCATTTGCTTTTTGTTTTTTGTTTTTTGTTTTTTGTTTTTGACGGCGGAGCTTAAAGTTTCGAGCACTTTGAAAGTTTCTACGCTGTGCAAGGACTTTCAGTCGCAAAAGTTCAACCGCGATAACCATATACGTGCAGCCGTAATACTTTTTTGTATGGTTTTCTTCGTTCGCTGCCACAAAGTGAAACAATTTCAAGCGTATTCGACGCTTTTCAAGTTTTAAACTTGAAGTGGATACTTGTATCAAAGGCTAGGGTTTGTAAGTCTTAATATGTAATCGTAACGAGAAATGAAGCTCAACATATTCAAGAGACAGCTTTCGATCGCTTCCTTCCCTCGTTCTAACACGTCAAAACATTCTGTTCGCAACTCTTAAGCGTTGTCGTTGGGCTAATTCACAAACATACTTCAGTTGAATGCTTGTCTTGGAAATATAGTATATCTTGTATCACGATCGTGAAATTGAAGGTAAACGAGTGGTGACTGTATTTCATATAAATATTCAGATCCTGCTGGGTAAACTTCACTGCTTTAGACTTTCTATTCATTTCCTGTTGAGAGGCGATTCACATGTCAAGAGTTTATCTTTGGCAGTTTGAACCAGTATCGACTTCCGGTCTTTCTGATAAAGAATCCATTTGGGTGTGACACGAATCAGTTTTACAACTGAGTATCCGCAGTAATATCGAGACACGGCGATATTACACTTAACAATTATTCGCCGAAGGCAAGGTGAATATCGTCGAATCATCCCCGAGACGAAGTCGAGGGGAGTATTCGACAATACTCACCGAAACCAAATTATCATGTAAAATCCCCTTCGACACAGCAGTACACTACCAATTTATTCGAAAGCGAAAACGCATGTCTGTTATTCGTGAACAAAGTCATTGAAAGGCGCTAAAGCCATGGTCAAAGGTTTTGGAGCGTTGATATCTTACAGGCAGCGAAGCTGCAAAGTAAAACGCCACTGGTGAATTGCAAAGTTTACGTCAAATTGGCTCAAACCGCCGTAAAATGACCGCAATTTTAAAGATTTTTATAGTAACAGTTGAACATTTGGCATTGATAGTGAAAAGTTGTCTATGACGCTACCATTTAAATCTCTGTTCTTGAATTTATCCGGACGTAACCGAATACTGTACGGTGAAAAAATGCTCTCTATGAATCTCCACAGATAAATAAGACTTTCAAAACATCGCTTTGACAGCTTCAAACACTAAATGTTTACCCTTAGATTTTTAACTTAGCAGTATAAGACCATTTTTTTTTCGATTTCGACATTCGACACAGCGACAATTTTAAGAATACGCATTTCGACGTGTCGCTAGCTCTCCAGTCAAGAATCCATGCCCACAAATCATGAATAAGGTAACGTTCTGGCCTTTGAGAGACATTTTTTAAGATAAAAGTAATAGGGAAACAAACTTACAATCTTTTCCCGGTGAAGAAGGAATCTAACGCGGCAAGCACCATCGCCAGATGATGGGCTGTCTATCATGCTTTTGTTTTTAGCGATCTCTGATTGGTTCAGCCTATAGATCAGCTCGGGTACATTCTTTCAGTCACAATATGAATCAAAATGGCGGCTAGAGAGAAAAAAGAGTAGGGATTTTACGCTACTTTCAATAACGTATCAAGCGTTGATGCACTCCGGAAAATACGAAAAAGGAATAGGAAAGTTGTGGGAAGTGGAAAGAGTCATTGCTCGAAGGGAAAACGCCACGGTAAGTTGAATTATTTCGTTCGTATAAATTTAATAATTTGAATATATCAACAAAAGTTGAAATGGTAAATTGGCCACCGTTACAATTATAAAAGCTGACGTTTCGAGCGTTAATGCTGCATTCGCTCCGACGAAGGGCTAACACTCAAAACGTCAGCTTTTATAATCGTAACGGTGGCCAATTTACCATTTCAACTTTGTTGATATGTTCAAATTATTTGGGTCATCCTCGGTGTAAAAACCTGACGAGGTTTTCTTTGTTTCATGAGGTATTGTTTTGATGTACGCTATTGTTTATAATGTTTTATTGTCGTTGTTTTACGTCACTCGTGAGCTTCACAGGTTTTTACACCGAGGATGAGCCAATTATTTCGTTACCCCCACCGACGCAGCCCCAAACAGTTTCTTTAGAAACTATCAGCCTTTATTCATTCGTATAAATTTAAGCCTTGTTAAGAGGTTAAAGCTTTGGAAGCTGGAGCTTTTAGTGCGCACGCTGCATGCGAGATCGAAACCCCAGTTCTTTATGAAAAATAACTGGCTATAGGTATACAAGCTACTTTCAAAAGAGAAGGAGAAGAAAGAATGATTTCATTTTAACGTTTGGGCGTTTTAGTTTTATATTTTTGATAACAGGGTTCTCCTGGATACTTAGTTGCATGGAGAGAGGTTTCTCTCCATACGAATCAACTTGGTAGCCTCAGGAAAACATTTCCCTCGATTGTATCTGGTATGAATGACCGATT